GAGGGAGGGAGGGAACATCTATGTGAGAGAGAAGTATCAATCTGTTGCCTCCTGTATGCACCCTGACTAGGGATGGAACCCACAACCTAGGTATGTGCCCTGACTGGGAATTGAACCCCAACCTTTTGAGTATAGAATGATGCTCCAACTAATCCAGCCAGGGCAACTGTCAGTACTTCTTTGTCACATGGACTATGTTTAAGCCCAACAATTTAGTCTAATCCTTAAATGTCCTGCTTAATGGCTCTGTACTCTGATGAAGATCTACAGTATATTTAGGGCTGCAGGAGTAGTTAAAGAAATACACAAAAAAATAGAGGCAAATGGTACTGAGAGACAGGAATATCAGGTCTTATGTTCACAGATTCATTAGAGAGGAAGGGAGAAACAGAGACAGAGAGAGGGAAGGAGGGATTCGAAGATCGTGTTAAGTTTTATGGAAGAAGGTGAAATATTTCTTAAAATTTCTTAGCTGGAATATTTTTGTATCTTTGTTTCTACTCCATAAAGTAAGATATTTAAACTGGTATTTAAATCCCAAAGCTCACCCCAGGAATAAAGAAAGAAAATCTTACATCATTTCGGTCCTTCATTAATCTCTCCTCTAGTTCCTGGGCTAATTGCAAAAGCCACCATTGTACCTACAAAAAGTATTGAGACTTTAATCTTTCATTTAAAAACTAGTTTATTATAGAACTTGATGGTGGGTTTGTTAAGCTCTCCCCCAAATGGACGTGTGCAAGAAAGTTTTCCCTATAACCAATGGATGAACAGGTCATAGAAAGTTTCACTCTAGCTCAAAATTTTCATTTTCTTTTTCTGTTGGCATGCCATCAGGTGAATTTCAGGCATGCCCCGGCACTGAGAAGGGAAAAAAAAGACACAAACTTGAGGCACAATATCCGAGGCCTTCCAAGTTTTCGCCTACTCTTTTATTTCTTTTTAGGTGGAAAAAAGGAAAAAATAATAAATCACATTAAAACTAGTCAATTTTCAACACACACAAAAAAAACCCTCTATTTCCTTCATACTTTACAGCATAAAGGTTCCATGTAACATACTAAAGCTTCTACAGTTACCAAAACCTACCCGCTAACCCCCTTAAAACAGGCAATGTTCTGTAAAGAATGCCAGCCTAAAAAGGGCTTCTGTCATGAGTGGCACACTTAGGGCAGCTTGATTGCTCTACATGTGGTATCAACATCAAGAGAACTTGGAAGCATTAAAAAAAAAAAAAGCCTGCCTACCTGTTCCCGAGTAGCCAGAGCTGTTTTTCCTGGGAAGTTCTTGCTGCAGCCAATAGTTTTGGGCAGCTGCCTGGGTTTAACTGGATCATGTTCAATACCACGGCACATGGCATATAGCCAAGATCTAATAAAACCAGCAAAAAAGTTTAAGGTGAAAGCAAATGATTATTCTTAGTAAGACAAGACAAAATATCTATATTATACTATCCTTTGATTCCATTCATGAAAAAGGAAAAGTGTGTGCAAAATTAAGTATACCTCAATCTGACAGAATCCCTGCCCTTCCCAATGAACCCCAGTGCAATATACTGCCAAGAGGAGGACTGCTGGTTACGCTTTCCAAAGTCGAGTCATCCTTTGTGTTTTTGGAAAAGTGCCAAGCAAGCCACTGAATTATGTCCCCAAGGTTTTTGGTACTTACTAAGCCTAAATACAAGGATTTTAAGGGACTATCCGCATCTCAGCATACATAGATGATATAGTTGTATATATCCAAGCTTCAAGGTAACAGTTCCTATCAATCTATTGAGGTACATAAAGAAACTACTCTAGACCGACAGGCCATAGTTATATAATATTTTAAAGCAAAAGGACCAATAAAATTATCTCAAGAAACAAATGCTAACCTAAAAATAGGCCTAGATTTTACTAAATGCTTTTGTCTATATTTGAATTTGGTATTTCCATAAAGGTTATGATTAAAAAGTATTAGGAATCACTTACCCATTCTTTTCCCCAAAATGACTCTGGAGCTGAGATTCAGTGAACTGGGTCAGTTCACCCATGTATTCTACCCCCAGGATTTCAATGACAGAGGCCCCTAGCTTTCCTCCGAGTCTACGGCTAACAAAAAAGACAGAATTTTCAGGTCATATCCTAAATATCTAGTTAGCAGATATAAGACATTTCACTTGTGTAAGTAGCTCTCCAAAAGGTTCAGGGAAAAACGAGAGCACATACTGGTCCTGTAGACTATTAATATTCTAGTGTAAGACTAGATGATTCTGGGAATTAGATATTCTGAGAGTTAGGACCTGGGAAGATTAACAATAGTGAAAACAAAAGGTTAAAGTTGTCATCAAGCCAACTGTATATAAAACTTTCAATTGTACAGAATCTACTGTCCTATTTAGGGATTAAAATTCCAACCCCCAAACAAATCCCTTCCATACCTAAAACCTTTTATATTTAAGAATAAAGTAAAAAATCTTCAGCCTGGCCTTTGAGGCTTCCTATAACCTGTCTTCAACCAATCTTTTCATTCCTGTTTCCATCATTTCCTCAGTATGGTCCAGCTAAACTAGTTTATGTCCCAGTTCACTGAAAATGCCTCATACTTCTTCCCTCTTGGTGTTCAAAACATTGTCCAAATCGTTATTGCTCTTCCATTCTCATCTAACTCTCCAAATTGTCCCAAATTGCAAAACAAATCCCATGCAGCTTTCATAAGTCCTTTTCAGATTATTCTTTTCTTCTATGAACTTCGGAAGCTACCTTACCATTCATTTAGCAATTACATACAGTCTTGCGACAACACGTTCACTATTGCTTTGAACAACTCTGTCTCGGCCCTTCAACAATATTATAAGCCCTTGCCAAAGATACACAATTGGCAGGCACAACCTAGTTATTCATTTTATTTGGCTTCTTTTTGGGGAGCAATTCAGTAGCCCTGAACACCTTGATATGATATTAGAAGAAGTAAAACTCCTATTTACTTTATTTGGTAACAGATTCAAATAAAAAGCAGAGAGGGAAGTTAAACATACATCTAAAAATCAGTTCATTTTCTAAAATTCAGTACTAAGTATCCTCTGCAGATAATCCAGAATTGAAGTTTCATTAACAAAAAAAGTCTGTGTGTTTTCAACTTTTTTTGTCATCTCCCTCCCACCTTCCTGCTACCTATTTTCCGTGGCTCCCATCCTTCATAAGGAACAGAAGAAACTGCAGCCAGAGAGTGCCTTCTCACGTCCCTGAGTGAAATTTAAGGTGCTCCCCAAATACTTACATTTTGTTAATGGGCATGTGGCTGAAGAGTTGCGGTACTGCCCCATGTGAGACCAGGGTCTGGCGGTTGGGCTTGTTCAATCCACAGGCCAGTTTTGCCAGGACCTGGAGCATGGAAAGTGTAACAACTTCATTGCTGCCAACACCCACATAGAGAGTTGGTGACTATTACCATATGCACACACGCAGGCACAGCTGGAGGGCTGTAACTAATGGTGTCCACATTAAAAACAAAAACAAAACCAGAAACTCAACATCTCTAAAGCTTGGTTGGGCACAACACCCTCAGTGGAAAACATGACCCACCATCATGATCCGCGTTGTTCTTCCCACACCTTCCATTATGGGTTTTCCTTTAGTCGTCTCTCCACCCCCATATATTCCTAAGGCTCTCCCACTTCAAGAGGGTACAAAGCAGAGAAGCTGCAGAGGAAACTTATGATGCTGAAACAAACTTTTTTTACCCATTTATTTACATTTCTTGATGAATGGTTAGTCCATTTTGAGTCCTGGATTTAATACATATTGCCACAATTTAGTATCTCTGATAGAGACTGGGCGCAGAGTCATCCTCCAGTAGCAGACATCTTATACTATAAACAAGACTTCAAAATGGAAAAAGTTTAAATTCTTGAGAACTCTTTCAAAGAATAAGATACTTCAGTGGTATGATTTCACAATTTAAATTGGAAAGTATAAAATCATTTAAAGTCACTGGAGAGATTCTCTGGAACTTCTACTAGGCAATACTTAGTCTGGTTTAAATTACTACATTGGGACTTTTGTTTTCCTTCCCTCCACCCAACCAGAAAAACAAAAACAAAAAACCCAAACTCTGCTGGGTAGTTCGGCAACTTTCCTCTTATTGGAGGGAGGGGGAGAAGGTAGTACCCAATAATCAGCCACTGCCCAGTGACGGAGCCTAGTCAGAAGGGCATGAAGATCCCAGGCCCTCACTGCACTTTAATTAGAAAACCAGTTACTCTGCCCCTGGATTGAGAATCCCATAAATCAAAATACTGTTCAAATTAATAAAATTTTACTATTCTCTTATTAGGAAAGGGGGAATAAGCAAAGCATAGAATATCTAGGCCACTCCACATAAGAAATGAGATAATACTAGAACATTCAGCAAGTAAAAAGAAAACAAACGGGTTCGTACATAAAATTCAAAGACTCCTCCTTTCTAGATAGTTCAATCGTTAAGGAAATACTTTGGATGCAGCTATATAAATAAGCATTTTCTGCAAATTTTTTAGCCTGCTTCTTAGGAAAGTACATGTTCAATGTTGAGTCCCATGCTGAAGAATTACTTAGGCTTTTACTTAGCCCTCAGCATGAATTTTAAATAGAAACCCATTGCAAAGTATGTGTGTAATGATTTAGCGCCCCACTTGTGTCTGTCCCTGCAGTATTTAACTACAGGTGTCTGTGTTTCTCCTGGAAATCTACTATTAGCCTTCACCTTATTGTGTGAAATTCCAGCTGAACACTGAAAGCCAGTCTGCCTCTCGATGGCTGCTCTCATTTCCTCCACAATCACTGCTCCCACGGTGAGCTGCACGTCTGGAGAGGTGGCGTCACCAATCGGAAGGGAATCTAGCCATTGCAGTAAGCCTTGTTTCCGCTTCAACTCTGAAAAAGTTGAGAGGTCACATTTAGACATTTACTTATTTATTTTTTATTATTATTATTTTTTAAAACATATCTTTATTGATTTCAGAGGGAGGAAAGGAGAGGGAGAGAGAGAGAAACATCAATGATGAGAGAGTCATTGATCGGCTGCCTAGCCCGCAACCTGGGCATGTGCCCTGACCGGAAATCGAACCCCGATCTCCTGGATCCTAGGTTGATGCTCAACCGCTGAGCCACGCCCGGCCAGGCTATACATTTTTTTAAATGGGAATTTTGTGTTATCTAATGCAGAAATGCTTAGATTCCAGGTACTTTAGGTACGTAGGCTTCCACAGAAAGACTGCTTGGTACTTACAAGAGAGGTCAATTTCCCCTTCATACTGGTTCCAACAGCCTTGGCTTCAGCATAGGCTGAATTTTAATATACCATAAATATTTTATATTAATATTATCTTTCATGAGCAATGATTTAAAAGCATATCTGTTTTCTCTCTCCAGTTCTCCTGAACTTTCTTCCTCCAATTTCCCCTTGCACATCCCAAAGAATTCTATTATCTTAATTAGAATATATTCAGAATTAACTAACACTTTAATATAAACTTAAGTTAGTATGTTGTATATAGTTCTAGAGGCAGGTTCTGAGTAGCTTAAAATCCCATCATAGACACTAGAAGATTTATTCTCTCGACAAGCTATTTAAATTAGATGTAGCTTTGGACTCAGGGCCTTGAAAATAGCTTACTATTCAATTTAGAACTAGTCACAATTTTGAAAAAGCATAAAACATAATTATATAGCAAGGAAGCTGGGTACATAGGAAATATTGACATGCTGTCTACAGAGTCAGTGATGAAGTATGAACAAAGCAAAAAATATATACTCAAAGTATCTCGGAAAGGGAGAGCTTTGAAGGTTCATAGACAGGAGAGAAAGATGAGCACATAGAAGGAAATTTCTTCCAACAATTGATGACTGCTGCTTCTCTCCTTTGCTGGCTTGTCTTCTGCTTCTAACACCCTAATTGTGGGCACTGAGAACATTCTCTCCGTGGTATACATGCTTTTTCTCTTGGTGAACCGGTACTGGCTTATATTTCAATTTACTTACACTGAGTACGTCTTAATCTCAATCCCCAGACTTAAACACTAATTCCTTTCTCCACCTCCCTGCAAAAAAAAGTCGTCTTGAATTTTTCATTATCGTTTCAAACTAAACATAACTAAAATCAACCTTTATTATATCTTTCTCCTCCAAGGTTCTTTCTCAAAACAACTCCCTATTTCTATTAACAGTTTAAAATCCAAATAATATTGTCTTTTTTTCCTTTTATTCCTCATTATTTTAGTTAATAGAGCCCACTTCAAAATATTTCACATATCCATTTCAACCCACCCTATTTTACTCAGGTTTTCTTCATTCTTGCCTAGACCACCCGAATGCATTCTACACTGCCCACAAATTAAACACCCTCAAATACCGGTGTTATCAATCTTATCCATCTGTTCAAAAGAGTCGCTGGCTCTCTCACACCTACAAAATAAATTGGCATTGAAGACCATCTGCCACTAATCCCAAGTTAGTTATATCATTACAATTTCCTGAACATACCGTGTTTCTACCTCAAGACATCACTTATTCTTTCTCTCTACTCTAACTCCTTAACTCTGTTCTCCCCTTTGCTTAAATAAATCTTATCTATACTTCAGGGCTTATCTCAAGTCTTATCTATCATGAGGTCCTCTCCAACTATTTTAGCTAACTTTGGGATGTCCCACTAAAGTCCTTTAGCTCTTGACTGCAACAAGTATAGCATAATTGTTAAAAGAACACATTTTGGCCCTGGCCAGTATGGCTCAGTTGGTGCACTGAAAGGTTGTGGGTTCGATTCCCAGTCAGCGCATGTGCCCTGGTTGTGGGCTCGATCCTCAGTAGGGGGTGTGCAGGAGGCAGCTGATCAATGTTCTGCTCTCACATCAGTGTTCCTCTCCCCTTTTCCCTCTCTCTCTAAAAATCAATGAAAGTATTTAAAAAAAAAAAAAAAAGCACATTCCATCAGGACAGATTCAAATATTGGCTTCACAACTTACTATGTGACTTTGAGCACGTTACATAATTCTCTAAGCTTTGGTTTTGTTGTCTATAAAATAAAGATGAGTGTACTGTATCTCATAGGATTGTATACTGTACCTCATAGAACAGTAAGTGTAACATCCTTCATTTATTTTATTTATTTTTTATTTTATTTTTTTTTAAATATATCTTTATTGATTTCAGAGAGAAGGAGAGGGTAAGTGTAACACCATTTATTTATTTATTTATTTATTTATTTATTTATTTATTTATTTATTTATTTATTTAAAATATATCTTTATTGATTTCAGAGAGGAGAGGGGGAGAGAGAGAGAGAGAGATGGAAACATCAGTGATGAGAGTCATTGATCGGTTGCCTCCTGCACGCCCCCCGCTGGGGATCGAGCCCACAACTCGGGCATGTGCCCTGACTGGGAATCGAACCACCATCACCTGGATCCTAGGTCGACACTCAACTGCTGAGCCACACCTGGCCGGGCAACATCCTTCATTTAAAACCATTTGTTAGCCCGGCCAGGCATGGCTCAGTGGTTGAGCATTGACCTAAGATCTACGAGATCGCTGTTCAATTCCTGGTCAGGGCCCATGCCCGGGTTTCGGGCTTGATCCCCAGTCAGGGTGTACAGGAGGCAGCTGGTCAATGACTCTCTCATCGTTCATGTCTCTCTCTCTCTCTTTCTTTCCCTTCCTCTCTCTGAAATCAATAAAAATATATTTAAAACAAAGAAAAAGAAAACCATTTGTTAGTATTTAGAATTGGGTTTGGGAAACAATATAATTTATTGAAATTGTGGGGTTTTCTGGACGCTTTTTCTTAATCAGTAGAGCTAAGTCTTCTCTGCTTTAGATTTCTTCATTACTGCTCTCTGGATTCGGCAATGTTGCAATCCTCTGTTACTCTATATCCATGTCAATTAAACAGCACCACGGAAGACAAGCAGCTTCCTTTGTTTCCTTCTCTTCTCTAGGTCATAAGAAAAGTCTATAAAAAGTTTGGGGTTTTTCTTCAATACACTGAGGTAGAGGGAGAAAGAAGGTTCAGGTAGTTTGTGCTGAAAAATGCTTACTAAGGTGAGAAGACTTTCCTTTTCCTACTGAATTATCTGGGTATCTTTGTGGAAACCAATTGATCAAAAAATGTGGGAATCTATTTGTGTACTTTCTATTCTGTACCATTTATCTGTATGTCTCACCTGATACTAATACTATATTGTCCTAGTTACTGTAAACTTATAGTTAAGTGTTAAAGTCAGGTAGTTACGTCTTCCAATTTAGTTCTTTTTGAAAGTTGTTTGCCTATTCCATATCCTTTGCATCTCCATACACATTTTAGAATCAGTTTGTCAATTTCTATAGACTGCAACAGGGATTTTGGAAGGGAACGCAATAAATCTGTAGGCCAATTTGGGGAGAAGAGCTCTGATCCATGAGCATAGTGTCTCTCCATTGATTTGTCTTTAATTTCTCTCAGTGATGTTTTACAGATTTCACTGAACTAGGTTTTCACATGTATTGTTAAAATTATCTGATAATTTCATGATTTTAATGCTATTGCAAATAATATTGCTTTTAAATTTCAATTTCCCATTTAAAAATTTTAGTATATAGAAATGCAATTGACTTTACATTGATTTTGTCCCCTGTAACCTTTCTAATCTCACTTATTCTAGTTTTGGGGGGGAGGGGGGTAGAGTTTTTAGGATTTTCTACAAACATGGTAATGTCACCTGCAAAGAAAGTTCACTTTTTCCTTCACATCTGAATATCTTTTATTTCCTCTTCTGTTCTGATTGGACCATCTAGTATTTCCAGTACAATGCTGAACAGATCAGGCATAAGAGTGAGCGTTGATGACTTGTGCCAAAAATTCGGGGTTAGACTGATAAACGTCTAACTAGACTCCGCAACTCCAGGGACCATAATTACAAAAGAGAAGTCCCTGTACTGATAACAGGTGTGCCCTCCTCTGTGCTGCTAGCTGATTGGTGCCTTCCACGCTCCATCCCGTTGTTGGCAGGATTTATCATTTTGCAGCTTGTAGGATTGAGGTCCCTGTTTTCTTGCTGGCTGTCAGCAGAGGGCGGCAATCAGAGCCTAGCCATGGGGCCTTCTCCAAAGGCCCCCTCACATCATGGCAGCTTCTTCAAAGTGAGCACGGACTCTTAACTCCCCAAACTCTTACCTTTACAGTTGATTTATAATATTTTATACCAATACACCACTGTTTCATGTCATATGCATTTAGAAGATATTCAGTGTGTGCTTAGAAAGAAATGAATTCAGAGCAAGCAAAGGGAGGAAAGAACAAATGAGTTCCTTAGCTAACACAAACTAGTTACAAAATGGCCCTGAAGGGTAACTTTTTTACTCTGGCAACTTTATTTTTATTTTTTTGTTGTTAATGATTTTTTAAAGAGGCAGAGAGGGAGGGAGGGAGGAGGGAAGGGAAACACTGATGTGAGAGAGACACATCAATTGCTTGCCCCTCACTCACCCCAACTGGGGCCAGAATCAAACCTGCAGTCCAGGTATATACCCTTGACCAGGGACCAAACCCAAGACCCTCCTGTGTGCAGGCCAACATTCTAACCACTAAGATACCGGCCAGGGCGTCTGGCAATTTTTTAGTACTATTATTAAGTAATCTTATTAAACTTTCCACACACATGTAACTATTTCGGAAACAGAAAATACAAAGTTGTAAATGCAGCATGCTAAGCAGGACTGCTAGTTTTCAACCCATTAAGTGTTAGGATGGTAAAGGTTACTTGCACTTAGATCAGCTAAATTCTGTTATAGTTTTTTGTTGTTGCACAAATCAGATGAAGACTCAAGAACCATTTACTAGACATTGCAATATTCTGAACACTATAAATAATAAGATAATATCACTGCATCTGGAAGCTTAA